GCTTTTGGGGGCGCCACGGGGTGGGGGGGGGGGGGGCATTATTTATCAGTGTATTCTCTGAAGGGGACAGTGGATGGAACATTGGCTTAATTTTTTTTTAAATGTTGTGCAAAATAATTAGTCGACATGATGATTCTCACAATATAAAGTCCTTCTCCATTCAAAACAACTTGTGTATGTTTGAACCTCACAGTGCAGGATGATGTATGAGCAGAGTTTGATACTAGAAAGATGTTTTCACAGCATCTCTTCTCACCTTGTGACCTCACAACCGCTTTGGAGCCAGTCATTACTCTTTTATAAAACCTGTACAAGTGTAATGTGGAATTTTAAAGCCTCATGTGCACATATTTTCATGCAAGACATCTTGTGTCCAGCAGTTAAACTTTAAGATAATTGGACTTATGACTGACAGAAGAGTCTTTGTATTTGACTTGAAAGTGCCTGGAGTACGGGGGATGCATAAAAGATTACATGTTAGTTTGATGAATGACTCTCAGCAAACAGATTTCTGGAACTTCTTAAAACCAATATCTATTTAATTTGATAAGCCATACTAAAATTAAACAGCTTTCTGAGCTCCATAAAAGCTGACATTTTGGAGATAGTAGCAGAGAATCATATATTCTCTGGGGATGTTGCACACTTAAGGTAAAAATACTGATCCAACGATTGTCCTCTTTATCCCTCCATCTTGCTTTCATTTGCAGTGTTCAACCCATTTTACCTTCAGTGTGTAAAGGTTCCCATTCTGTCAGACAAGGACTGTGAAGCTTCCTACCCTGGTAAGATCACTGACCGCATGGTGTGCGCTGGATACCTGGAGGGAGGCAAAGATGCTTGTCAGGTATTTCTACACAATTACATTGTACTAACTGTACTTATCAAAAATTACTGAGCGTGATAAGATGGTGGGTGTAAGGAAGTAACAAACCCCATTTTCTCCCTCTTCCCTGCTTAGGGTGACTCTGGTGGTCCTCTGGTGTGTAATGGGGAGTTGCAGGGTATCGTCTCTTGGGGCCAGGGCTGCGCTCAGCCTAATTACCCAGGGGTTTACACCAAAGTCTGCTCTCTAATGCCCTGGATCAACAATATTCTCTCCAGCTACAGCTAGGCTGTGATCTCCCATCACAGAACTACATGAGAGAGGGAGAAACCACGGCGAGATTAAAATTGAAGGAGACGGCAACAGGAGGCGGTGGGTGGGCAGTGTTAGAGAGAAAAGAAGCAAGGGGGAGGCTGAGAGAACCACAAGGAGAAACTGTGGGGAAGGCAGGGTCAATTCAATAAAATCCACCATTTTTTGATGCATTTGTGTGTTTATGATTGTTGACAAAACTGTTACTGCTCCCAGTGCTGATGCTTTTTAGCAGCCATGTTACTCTAATGGAATGCTTGTGAATACTTTATTTCAAATACTGAGATTGTGAGTTTGTAATTACATCAGCCTCTAAGAAAATCCAACATATCATCTGTGAATTGGCTTTTCCTGTAGCCAGTGACACCACACAGGGATTTCCATCCAAATGAGACACTGTTAATGAATGTGTAACACTTGTGGTTATATTCACAGTTAACTGCTAATAAGGTTTATTGGTTTTATAGTTTGGTTGGAGCAGATGAATACTGACCTCATTTGGATTTTCTGGCAGAGATGTACACTCTATTCATCAATGTCAGTACACTACAAGCCTGTAAAAAGGAATCATGCTTACACCAGCTTGTACCATTCAAAACAGAGAACTTGATCAAAAAACAACACTGCTGGCAGAGAAACCCTAGGAAACAAACTGATGCAATACAAGCAAAATTCTTAACATCTGGTACTGCACATTTTTGGTACAAATGAGTTTGTCAATCTGGTGTCAAAATGCACTTATATATTATCAAAAGCACTGCAATCATGTTTTTCTTTCTAACAAGAAAAGAAATGTCAGAATCCCCACAACTGTCTTATTTTCTTGTCAATGGAAGGTTAGTCAAAACTGTGGGTTGAAAATCAGTAGTCAGCTGTGCTGAAATAATGGGACATATCTTGGATGACATTTCTGTACCAAGCCTTGATGGACAGTTGCACAGAAATATCTCCCATCTGTACTCCACAGACACTGAAGATTTCAAAGCACTTGCTGTTCATTCCAAGAACGTGACATTTCCCTCTTCATCATTATCGCAGTGGCACAAGATACAGAAAGATGAGATGGACCACAACAGGAAGACAGATCAATAAATGAGCGACATGTAAAACTTAAAGTCCCTTTTTTAAACTGTTTTGCATAACCATTTATAATTCAAACGTGGGGAAATTAAGCTGAAATATTAATTGGCACTAACCACAGCAGACATCCATCTTCTCATGAGTTGTGAGATTTCTGTGTAATGCAGGACTACACCTGCAGATCATTCACAAGTTATGTGGCAAATGTGGTTAAACACAGTTAAACAGGGTTACAAAATTATAATCTGAGTGAAAGTAAGATTAACTGCTGCTTCCATCATAAACGCAGCATGTAAACATCTGTACCAAACACATTATGGTTGTTTAGTTCTTTTCCAAAACATCTAAATAACATTTTTACTGCACATGTTTAGCTCCCTCGTGCCATTTGCAATCACAATAGCTTACCTGAAATGAGTAAGATGTGTGTGCCTGTCTTTCATTATACAATTATGCATTATACAGTTTCTTTCCACAGCGAAACATGCAAACAGTTTGAGCATGAAAAGGCAGGAGGCTCCAGCCCTGTTTGCTGGTCAGAGCATGTTTAGGCTACAGGTAAGAATATTCAAACCTCTCATACTAGTATGTAGTAGAGACTGACAGGCTTAGTTTGCCAAACGTTCATGACAAGAAGGTAAAAGTTGATGTGAGTGAGGTGATCCAGGACCATGTAGACACTCGAGGAAACCAAGGAAGAAAGATACAGTAACTACATGAAGGGCGAAGCCAAGGGCAGAGGAGGGAACCAGAGCTGAAAATGAAAGGGATGAAGAACACAACAATAACAAACACCTGACATGTGTGAAGTGGCGATAAAGGGCCAGATGGGGGAGATACAATGAGCAGCAGGTGTATGTAATCATGGGCATAAAAAAGCTGGGGCAAATGAGAGTGGCATGAGACTGTAAAGATGTCAAAATAAGAGCATGAAAGAGGAGGTGGCCAGAAATTATGACATATATAAGAAACATGTAATTTATAACACGACTTTGTTCAACAAAACAAAACAGTTGTTCACATCTCCACTTGTGTAAAGCCTTGAATGCTGCTAATTATTTACTATTGCAAAATTTGACTTTTGTTCATTTTATTTTGGCAAAGGTTTGAATCCACGACCCATCTGTTAAATGTTGGCTTGCATTTCTCTGGCCATACTGCACAAGGTACATAAGTCACCTTTATATTTAGATGTGTGCAAACACAGTGTCTCACGTGTACCTGGAAACTGCATTCAGACACGAGGGAGGAAGCCGCCTTGAGAAACAAATGTTAAAACGATCTGCTTATTAAGGAGGCCAAAGCTTTATATTTAGATGTGTGCAAACACAGTGTCTCACGTGTACCTGGAAACTGCATTCAGACACGAGGGAGGAAGCCGCCTTGAGAAACAAATGTTAAAACGATCTGCTTATTAAGGAGGATGCCCAAACTTGCACATGCCAAAACAACAGTTTAATTTTCTTGAAATACAAGTACATAAATATTTGAAGAGAGGCTTATTTTAATGTCTCTGCTGTAGGGCTTCTGTTCACTTCGAAGAATCAACAAAATACTTTATATAATTTAGAGCTAGGTTGCTTTTTTTCTCCTTAGTCCTCAGGCATGTAAAGCTATTAAGAACACTGTCAACCATTATTAAAGAGCTCATAATTAGTTATTTTCCACTACATTTCTGCTGGTCTCAGATGTGGGGACAAAATTCTTTGTGTGATGATATGATAGATAGCCCATTTAAAAGATAATACTAGTTTTCAAAGAAAAATGTTTGTGTGGTTAATATCAAGTCATGAGAAATGGATGAATAAGGATGTTTTATTTTATTTATCTTTGCCACTCAAAGAAATTTTTAATAATAATGACATGTAACCTGCTAAAAACTCTATAAAGTGGCTAAATAAGTAATTCATGTTACATTTCCTGCATTAGTTAGACAAATAACTTTAATAAAGACAAAGTGCACAGAAGAAATAGTACTTCATTTCAAACACTTTATTTGTTATACTTCATCCTCCGTGGTACAAATGATGGTATGTGAACAGTCAAAAATGTTGAGTTGTCTGTCTGATGTGGAGGCTGAAGGATGGTATTAATTGTTCGCCATCGTCTGCTTCAGCCACTCAGTCTCTACACAGACCTGAAGATGAAATGACATTAGTTGCCGTATCACTACATTAAACATTGTAATATGTAATATTATGTAATATTTTTACTTCATGAGGGGAAATGTTACCTTTGTGTAGACACCAGGATAGTTCTGCTCAGCACATCCATAGCCCCAGGACACAATACCCTGAAGCTCACCATTACACACAACAGGGCCACCAGAGTCACCCTGAGAGAAGTATTTATTACATCAGTACTGAATCACTGTACTTGCTTCATGAACCTTTGCAGATTTCTTTAATTATGTTCATGCCAATAAAGCAAATCTGAATTTGAAAATATAGTGAGATGCAAACCTGGCAGGAGTCCTTTCCTCCCTCCAGGTATCCAGCGCAGAACATAGTGAACTCAATCATGCCAGGATAGGAATTGTTGCAGTCCGCGTCAGACAGGATGGGGACGTTCACACACTGCAGCCTGTCCCCGTCAGCCGCTGTAGAAACAAGGAAACAAACGAATACATCAGTGTGATAGGGGTGGACTGTTGGAGACCGGTTGCTGTCAAATGTCCATTTAGATACAAACTTAATAAAGAGATACTCACCGGGGTTCATGGTATTGCCCCAGCCAGAGACTAAGCACATGGTGCCAGCGGGGGCACAGCTTTCGGGCAGAGCCACAGGCTGCACATTCTGGTTGAAGACGGCAGGCTTGCTCAGCTTGATCAGCATAATGTCATGCACGAGGCTATAGGAGTTGTAATTGGGGTGTCTGATGACTCTAGAAGAGCTAACAAACTGCTCGGTGTTCTCATTCTGTCTGATGTGGTGCTCTCCCATACGCACCTCAAGACGCCTGAAAGCAAATAAGACTGGTTAAAAAATTATCCTTATTTTCTGTATTTCGGTGATTATATCCTTCTTCAGATGAATAAGCAAGGCCTAAAACTGTCTCGTGTGTGCTTACGATTTGTAGCAGTGAGCAGCAGACACAACCCAGTCCTTGTTGAGCAGGGAGCCACCACAGAAGTGGTACCCAACATTCAGGGACACCTGATGAGGCTGGGAATGAGGCGTACACTCATACCCACCGACGATCTTGTCATCGTCCGTGGCAACTGAAAACAGATGTAAGACAGCCAGAAATAGTCATTTCCTTACTGCAGTATAGGAAGCACACAAGACATGAAAGTTAACCTCTACCAGTTCTGTACCACACTCACAAGCAACTCCGATGAGCAGAATGAAAACCAGAGACCTCATGGCTGCAGTGTGATGCTGTCAGTGCACCCAAATCCCTGTTTTATATCCACTCCCAGCTCCCTGATTGGTAAATGCTAATCAGAATAAAAACATGGAAAAACTTGATAGTGAAATAGTGACCACCAGATAAAGGCAGTTCATTCCAGGTAACTGATCCACGAGTCCAGGAGTTACAGGCCTGTGGTCCAAAAATAGTCAACCCACTATGACCAGAACAGCTGGATTATTCACACAGTGCTTTAGCTCAAGGTCGAGACACTGATCGGGAGTCAGCCAGCAATAGAAGATCTAATCAAGAGTACAACAAACTTTACTTACAAATTCAATGTAATGACTGGTGTATTATAGCCATTATATTAAACACTAATCCATATAGACATCTGAACATTTTTCTTTAAGTCTGATCACTGTGAAATGATACTGTAGCCCACTGCATTTTTCCAATCATTAAATCATAATCATTTAGTTGCTACTATACCTGACATTTAACAGCCACCAACCATTGTGCAATAAAATACAACTGAAACTGTCATTTAATTTATAAGTGAATGAAAAACATTAAAATCCAAACATTAACAAAAGCAAACTATATGATGGATTCTGAATTCTTATAAACACCACGTGGATTTTGAATCTTCCCACTGTGATTTTTGAGGATTTATCCAGCTGTTCCTGTTGATATGTCACCAATATCCGAATGAATTATTAAGCCAAACTGCAGCAGGTAGGTTTATTAAATGCTTTTCAGGTTGACTAAGGCTTTACCAACAGCAGATCTGCAGAGAACTTCCCTAAAAGGTCATATTTAATAGTCATCCTGAAACTGAGTGATTTTGTTTGAGTTCTGTTTGTCCCATGCCAGTTCCCTTCGTCAACATTTTTCAATGTTCTGTCTAAAGCTGTGTGGGTTGGTTTTCCTGCAAAACCCTGTGGTTGTGAACCAGGCCATCTGCAGAGCTGCAACCATGTCTTCACAGCACAACACCATCCGTGTGGGGGTTAATGATTACAAAATACACCATGTGCCAAGTACAGATACTTTCCCATATAGACTGCAAAATGTTAAATAAAAATGTAGTAGTAGTCAAAGCATGTAAACTAACACAGATTTAATAAGTGAACTAATTTACAGGACAAACTCTGGTATGTAATCAGAGATCAATCAGTCCATATCATGGGTAATCATTTTTCAGAAAAAAAAAATTCATTTTGGTATTATTGGTATTAGTGTACAGCCATTCATATACAGCTTCAAGTCACCCAACCTCAGCCAAAAGAATAATTACTTTTTAACTATCCTAAATTATTTTTTCCAGGGTTTCGATTGGTCAGACATAACCATAGGGATGTGCTCAGCAGGGAAAGATGAGGAAATTTCTCTCTAAATAGGGCTCAATATAACATTTGTCACCCACAGGCTCACACAGCAACCATGAAGTCTCTGCTTCTTGTTTTGCTCTTGTAAGCTGTATGTAAACCTGTTTCTGCTTGCATTCATTAGTGTTAATAACTAAAACATTTACTTGTTCACCAATTATGACCTGCATGTTTCTACACATCTCTGAACTCACTAACACTTCTGTGGTACAGTAGTATTAAAGTAGTTCAATAAGAACTGGACTGTGTGTCGCTCTCTGCTATGTACTTGTATCACTCCCTACTGTTACAAAGTTTTACATGCAAGCTTGTGCAGCCATTTTTCAAATCAAAGATTTACACCTTGACTTATATTAATACTTTTCAGTTTTTGCCCATCTTCCTCCATCAGAGCACTTTACATTTTCATTGTTTCACTGTTTACTGTTGTGTTAAATAAGCCATACAATGGTTTGTATGTGGGAAAAAATTATTTTCATTATTACAAACACATCTGTCCACTTCAGTTAAGTCTTCCAGAAATAAACAGGCCATCTGAGAAGGGGCATTGATTATTTATTGCATAAATGACAACATTCATCATTTCTGAGATACACTGACTTTAATGCTTAAAAATACCTCAGCTAGTCTTGATTCAGAAACCTCACATCTTGTTGCTATTAAAGTCCTTCCTACCCACCTACCTAATTTGAATCAGAATTACCTAAACCCTTATCAAATATAATCAACTCTACCAACAGCCTGTGTCTCTTCCCTCTGTGGGGACAAGTGGACGCAAACCATGCAGGCACCTGCATTCATTACGTTTCTCTGCTCATTCATCAACTGTCTGTTTAACGTCCCTGCAGGGATAATGTTTGCTCTGTAAATAAACTGGCTTGACATGATGCAACACCCTCAAGGTAATGGGCGGTTTGTAGAGTCGATTATAAAATACAAAAATGTTTTGAGTGATCACGTTTATCCTATGAATGGTGTCTTCCAGGATGACAATTCTCCCAGCCACATGGCACAATGAGTATAAAAATGATGAGACCTGTACGCTTTGACCTTCGCAGTCAGCAAATCTCAACTCAGTCGAACACCTATTGCCAATTTCAGACTAATTTGTTAGACAGTGCTTTCCATCATCATCAAAACACCAAATGAGGGAACACAAAGTTCCAGAGACTGGTAGAATCAATGCACTGAAGCTGTTCTGGTGACACATGGTGGCCCCAACACCTTACTAAGACACTTTTTTTTTTTGGGTCCCCCATCTGTAGTTTCAGTGAGCTTGTCTGTGAGAGAGGCTCCACCTGGCACCGTGGCTGAGGCCAAAGTAAGGATGCCAACTACAATCTGTTCCAAAAATGTCTCATTAAAACTATAAAAACTTTGTTTTGGCAAAATTTACATAAGTAGAATAAAAAAATGTTCTCATGTCCACTCTTTGAGGACTGAAACTGATCAGCTGCTCCAGGAGTGTCTCAACCATTGGCATAGATTAAAGCACGAGCCTACAGTCCTAGCATCTCTATCCAGCATCAGCCAGTCATGATGTCTCTACTGCTTGAAGCCATGTGGGAGTACAAACCACATTTCAACATTAGAGACAATCTCAGAATGCGTTTAGTATGGGACATAATACTCCTATTAGATTGCAAATCAATTACTTGGCCTAAGAACTGTAGAATGTATGACACCAAAGAGGTTTTTTTTGCTGAAAATTGTATTTGTAAGAAACGTTATCTATTTTTTTTAGCTGTCACAGCACATCATAAAATTGTTGGAGGGCATGACTGCACAACTCATTCCCAGCCCTATCACGCTACCAATTATGTGGGAGCTCCTTGGTTAATGACTTCTGTCTATTTGCTAAGAGCCTCTCAAACCTCACTTACTGTACAAAATGCCTCACACAACTCGTCCCTTCTGTTCATAACGTTTACTCGTTCACAACTTCTATAAGCACAATAGACATTGTCCTTGGTCATCACAACCATTGGTTCATGGATGGCAATGAACAGATCACTCCTGTTGGTTGTATGATCCCTCATTCCAACTACGACTCCTGGTTGGATGACAACGACATCATGATGATTGAGCTGAACAAGCCAGTATGTTTAATGGTTCTGACCACTAGTTGTGCCAGCAGTGGCACAACATACAAGTATCAAACTATCTCCGCACAGGCCTTCTGTTGTTCACTTTGTGTGGCCATCCTCTATTTTTCCTTTTGCCTCTCCGTGGCTGTTAATAGCAACAGGCCCAGTGTGCCTGGACATCATCTCCTGCCTGATAAGGGCTATGAAAATTCCCAACCCAGCATGATAACTGGGGCCATGTACTGTATTATGCTGGATATCTGCGGGCAACCAGGACTCCTGCCAGATGTGTGTCTCTGCTTTTGCAAAGGGGACAGAGAATTTACATCTTGGACGTTGAGCTCTTTGGTCTCATGTACCGGAAGCACTACATGGAAACCGATAGCAAGTCTTTAAAAATGTAACGTGCAAGTCTGAAGTCAGTTAACCCTGGCTCACCCTTACTTCTCTCAAGGTGCCTCTGCTGGTCCTGTAGTGTGTAATGGGAAGCTACAAGGCATAGTGTTCTGGGGATTTGGATGTGCAGAGAAAAACTATGTCGTCATCTCTGCCACAGCTATCCATTAGTTCTCTTTAATGACAAACATTCTCAGAGTGTGACAGAGCTTTTTCATATGCCTTTCCACTTTTATCTCCCTTGATGTTGCATCAGACCTGTATTTTACAGGCTGGTTGCCCCCTACCAAGTTCTGCTACAGCCTTTCCTATTAAAAAAAAAATAGAAATGACATGCTATTGTAATAAGACAAGTGTTACACTTCCCTCTCTTTGTTCCTGTACTTGTAACTTGCCTGGAATAACAATGGTAAATGAAACAGGGGAAAAAATTAACATCTATTCAATCTAATACATTTTCAAATGGTAACACATTGAGGCTATGTAGTCATAATACATAAGCAATAGAAAAATATTTCTAACAGTGTTAATAAATTGTATAAAATGTTTTTAGAAAGTGTAGATTTGAGGGAACAAATAAAAAAAGTCATAATGAAAAAACTTAGAAAAAATCAACTGGACTTAGATTTCTAGGTCGAAGACGTTTCACCTCTCATCCAAGCATAATTTTAGCTGATTTAGAAGAAGTATGTGACCTAAAATGACAAAATAAAGATAGATAATTTGGTGCATTAAAAAAAGAATAATAAAAAAGTTTTGGTATAGTCTGTTCGCTTCTTCTTTTCCACACGTATTAATTTTAGCGGAACCTCCGTTCCCCAGTTTTATTATCAAGTCGGACACGTTTGCCGACGCACCGCCAATGTCAAACCTAGAAAACTTGTCATAGCCAGAGTTGATCTCTGGACTTGCTTTTAACATAAATAGAAGCTCCTGTATCTAGATAGAGGGCAGCTGGAAGAGGTTACGGACGTCACTAGTAAACCAGTTCCTGTTTATGTAGTTTGGGTTTGTTTCTTGTGGAAGTCTCAGACTAATCTACACGGGACAAGATGCGCCTCACGTTGCAAGTGTTGATTTCACACGGCCGGGTGGCCCGGAAGATGGGTATGGGCCCGCGGTCCCGAATCGACATGCTGAGGAACATTTTGACAGGGCTGGTCCGACATGAGAGGATAGAAACCACACTGGCCAGAGCAGATGAAGTTCGCTTTTACGCCGAAAAGGTAACGACGACATGCTGCTAGCTAACACAGCTATCCAGATTGTGTTCAGTTGTAATAGTTTAGTAAACGACAGTGGCTGTTAAGGATCAGTTTCAGCCACCAGACGTAGTAGCTTGTGCCTCTCGTGTATTACATACATTAATACATGAGGGCTAATGTGAGGGAGTGTTGATGCCTTGTGCTCAGCTTCATGTGCAACCTAGTGATTGTGATGGGCTGATGCTCTAGTCCTGCAGAATCTCTGATATATAGTGAGACGATGACTACACCATAGTTTGCTCTATCCACTAACGTTCATAATCCCATAATTAGTATTCACCATAATATTCTAATAAGATGACTAACCTGCAGCATATTCTGATTGTAACATCTTTCTCTCCATCGTTTTCTTGTTTTGCCTTTTTCAGCTGATTGACTATGCCAAAAAGGGAGACACTGACGAGAAGGCCATGAAAATGGCCAGTTTCTGGCTGACTGTATGTGTCTGCAGCTCTTATCAACTCTGTAAAATTACAAGTTGTATCACTTAATGTAGATCAGCTGATGTTAAGTTGTTTAGTTTTGGTGTGTTATCTTTCTTCAGGAAAAGGATCTTGTCCCAAAACTGTTCAAGGTCCTCGCTCCACGGTTTGAGACTCATTCCAGAAGCTACACGCGGATGGCGCGACTCCCCAACAGAGACAACCTGGACAGAGCTAAGATGGCTGTCCTGGAGTACAAAGGCAACCCTTTCCCACCTCTCTATCCTGTGAAAAAGGAGAATGAACTGACACTCATCAACCAGCTGCTCAAAGGCTACAGAGAGGAGAGGGCACAACAGTTAGCTGCAAAAGCTTAATGAATATTATCATGGTGTTGGATAAATGGTTACTGAAGTGTGATGGCGATGCACTGAATAGTCACTTGCAGATGCTGCAGATAGTGGCTGTTAAAGAGTGATGGATTTTTTTCACCAGGAAGCAACAGCGTCAACTGAAGCCAAGTCCAAATCTGTAGAAAGACATTTGACTGATTGTGTGAAAATAAATTTCTTAACTGAAGTAATTTTTTTCACTTCATTTCTTAGAATACTAAATCCTGCACTGTTGACCACAGAGGTACAGCTAAATATCATTAACGAGGGGTCTGCTTTGTCTAATTATCTCAGTAGTCATGACAACAGGCCAGCGCACGCAGTAGGAGGAACCTGAAGAGAAGCAGCCAAATGCTTTGATTTTATGATTTACACTTGCGACTTTCTACTGTGATATATCAAAATGATTTCTATGGAAGAATCTGTGGTCAAACTGTTCACAAACCAGCTGAACCAATAACCAATACGCTATATTTACTGTATTTACCCATGAGAGCTTCTCCTTAGCATTTTCAATCAGACTGTCTACTTGCAAACGAGTACAAAAGCCCTGAAGTAAGTACTAGTGTTGTGAAGCTTGTTTCATTTTTTGAAAACTGCCATTTCAACACATTTTTTTCTGGTCATAGTTTGTGATTCAGTAACTGTACATGGCATGAAAAACAAAACAACATGAAAACAGTACTACTAGTATACATTTTGACTTATATTGGGAATAAGGCACAAAGTATAACCCTAATTATGGTTCTACTGCAAGACCTACATGAAAATAAGCTATCGTTAATGTACGGTAGGTGTGGATATTAAAAGCCATAAGAAACATCTAATTCAGTTCCTCAAAAAATAAAAGCAGTAACGTTGACTTTTTTTCATATGTGTTTGTGAGCTGTTCAGAGACTGGTGTAGAGATCCTTTATGGCAAGTCTGAAAATATGTGAGGCTGTATTGTATTGTCCTATACAAGGTTTTAGTTATTTTATCATCCTGGTCATTGAATAGCACTACACTGATCAGCCATAACATATGACCGCCTGACTAATAGTGTGGACACAGGAGTCAGTGCGGCAGTTGGTTGGCACTCGTGTCACTCTGAGGCTCACAACGCATCTTGTAAGAATCTGTTTGCTTCCATAGTTATACTGCCAGGAAAAGCAAAACCTGTCTATCATTCAGTGAAAAAAACACAAAGGGAGTGAAATCTGTGGTAATGAGGATTATTAGAGAATTTTTAGACACTCAGCCTCCCCACCAATATAGCCACTGAATGTTTTTCATTTTCATCCATTTTAACAAAAGGTTCAAGCTAAATTGAATCTTTTTGAAAAGTGAAAATGGAATTTTAAAGTGTAAAATACAGTAGGTCAGCCTCATCAGTGAGCCTTAGGCATCCATGACCCTGTCTCTGGGTCACTGTCTGTCCTTCCTTAGGCCACTAGATACTAAACACTACAGACTAAACACCCAACAAGACCTGGAGTTGAAGACTTGATCTAACCTAGTCACCTAGCCATCACAGTTTGATCCTTGTCAAAGTCGCTTAGATCCTTATGCATGGGTGTTTTTCCTGCTTCCAACACATCAACTTTGAGGACTGAATGTTCACTTGCTGCCTAATATACCCCACACACTTGACAGGTGCCACTGTAGCAGATCGTCAGTGTTATTTGTCTGTCAGTGGTCATAATGTTATGGCTGATCGGTGTACATCGTAATACAGTACAAAAGCGCAAGCAATGACCCATCCAAATTGAATTTGAACAGATTAGTTTTCATGTTGTAGGATGATTGCTTTAAATTAGCAGATGTAAACAGACAAAAAAGGAGTTAGTGGCATCCAAAACTGACCATGAATTGCAAGAAATTTTTCTGTGGCAGGCTGATAGCTATTTGTAAATTTGGACCTTTACTGAGGAATTAATACTGTACAGGCTGGCACAGGGTACTGTGACGTCCATAGTCACAGACTGGGATACTGGCAGTGACTGTGAAATAATTAGGCTGGTCTACATCAGATTGTGACCAGCCTGGAGTCTGTCCCTGTGGTGTTTTACGTTAATAGACTCTTGTAATGAGAACAGATTCTAAATATGATTTACAGATATTAGATTTACTCCTTTGGACACATGCCTTTGTCCTAACTAGCATACAAACACACAGAAGCCAAATAATACACACAAACACCCAGACAAAGCCTCTAATAAAATCATATTTTTAATATTTTGGCAAAAAATGTATATGTACAGCATATTTAGAATTGTCATTTGACACCATTTAAATGGATTTGAACAGTTCTTCAGTGATGTGCTCTTAACCAAATCAGTCTGAGTAGCCTAAAAGCTGTGCTGTTTTCTGTCATGCATACATAATCTCTTTTCTTCAAGTTCTCTCCCCTAAATGTTTGTCTCAGTCCTGTCATTTACACACAAGGTTGATGCAGTGATACAGGGTCAGTAAGCCTGTCCGTTAGTCCAGTCACCCAGCATCTATTCAGTCAAGCTATGGCAACAGGAAACAGCAGACAAAATGGCAGATATGCCAAATATGAGTCAGACACATAATCAGAAGTAACACTCTAATTCAAGTATCATTCTGTTTCACAGACTAAGTTACACCTCTGACTACATTTTTATAAGTTACACGCCACAGTCCCACAGTACTCCATCACAGCAAGATTACCACTGATAAATCTGTGGACTATTAGCAAAGTACCACAGCCAAGAAATGGTGACGATGATACTTCACTTCTTTGTTAGAGTCCTTTCACTTATTTATTAATTTTTTTCAGTTACTGAATTGCTGGTGGTAAACTCAGATTTCAATGACACTTGCATGAATTGTCAGCTTCAGTGTTATAGTACGTCAGTGGAGCATGAGAGGGTCTCATCTCTAAACTGACAGTTTTAGAGACTGTTTCAATGACATTTTCATACTGTATTTACAAGTGAATGCATCTGGGATACTACACGATGTGGTGTGAATACAGGTTTTAGAGCAGTCTTATAATGTGACATCACAAATAATCAGACTAAGACCAGGAACATTAAAGTGCTCCATGCAGGACGGACAAAATGTACAGTTGTGTTGCTGTTTTCATAGTTCATCTACAATACTTGTTTTCTGTTATAGCTCAATGTTAGGGCATACGAAACTATTAATGTGTTCGGTTTTATGTATGGTAAGCAGACCAAAAGTCACGTTTCAGGTACCAGACAGGGATGACAATGAAGCTACTTGTATTTTCAAAAAGGACAATTTGACAAAGGTGTACTCTAACATTCCAGTATCTTGAAAATCACCTCTGTCCTTGTGCTGTATTGCATCAGTACATTCACAAATGTCTACATAAACAGAAATGACTTTTTTGAGCAGGCATGTTTTGCACTCCAGTGAAAACTGAGCCAAAGCCGATATCGTATAATACTGTTGTGTCAGACAGCGCAAGAGGTTTGGAATAACAACAGAATTTATCCAGTCAAAAATATACTACAGCCTATTGTATGTATTTACAAAAGTACAGATTTCAATACACACAATAAGCAAATACTGTATGATCACGTGGAATACATACATCAGTGTTTTGGACGGGAAGTACAATACAAACATGCATGTTTTACAAGTACCTAGAAGTGTTCACAGTAAAGGTGACGTTTTACATTTACACATCAGCATATCAATCCAGAATAGCCAGCGGCAATGAAGGCATACAAGGATATAAATTATAACCCATCAAACTCCATATAGAGTAAACATCTATGTTTTATCAAAATGTGTCAAACATAAAAAAGGGTTTTTTTCTTTAACATGAATTTGATAAATGCAAGTCGCATGAGAGTTTCAGTGCTCACAGCACCAACTGGGATTTAATGATCTGGAAAAAACATGAAAACTAATTTTCTTTTTTTCAAATAAAACTAGAGTAGTAGCTCTCTCCAGATGTAGCTATTTACAAACTCTTCCAGGCACACTGAAAATGCCTCATGAATTTTTGAATAAAAGTATTTCAAGAATTTTGTTCACTTCCACTTTGTGCACAGCTATGATTCTTTCGCTCTGGCTACATCCACTTTGTCATTTTCCCCTTGTGTGCCTTTTACTGGTCAACATCAAATATTTATTGCTTTATTCTTTAACAAGCTCAGCACTCCTGTCTCACAGCCATTTTCCCCCTCACTCCTCCATTTGGGTTATTTCCATTCAGAGGTGACAAGGGACCGTTTAGGGATTTACTTTTCTGAGGATTTCTTTTCTTCTGTCCTTCAAAACTTTGTTTTTTTTTTTTTGGCTGTCCCTTTTGTCTTTAAAACAGAAACGCCTTGATATCCACTTTGACTTTTTCTTTACTTTGTACGGTCATTCTGTCCATTTCCCTCCATGCCTCACCTCATCTCCCTCTGTCTTGTCTTTCTCTCCATCTCATGCCTTTGTTCCGAAACCTCCTCCCCCTCCACCCTGCATGCTGAAGTACTCTGTGAAGGAGGGGAGCCGTGGCGGTAGCGGTGGTGAACGTGCAGTCGGGCGTGGGGGTATCGGAGGCGGGGGTGGGGGCAGTATCGATGACAAGTCAGCAGCAGTGGTGATGATCTTCTGCTCACTGTTCCTTGGCACCTCTGGTCCTTTACGGGCCACCGTTTCCTCCACCGTCTTCACCGGGTCCTGGAAGGAGGAGGATAATGATAGTTTTACAATTTTGGGTCTGAGCCAGAAAGGAGTAACCCTAACCAGGAAGTGGGAACTTGCAGATATTGTGTCAGTAACACCATACTTTACATCACATTTTGACATCTGTAACAATGCTGGGATGTTATAGACATTTGGATAAATTACACAGGTACTGAGTCTCCTGACCAACAGGACCCTACTCCATACTGTAAGTGGTCTTATACTTGTAAAGAGCTTTTCTACACGATACGAGTTCTCAAAGGCTTTTAGACCATTTCCCATTCAGACACCAGTGATATTGCCGGAAGCAACTAGGGGTTTCGGTGTCTTGCTCAAAAACACTTCGAACACATGGACTGAAGAAGCTGGGAATCAAGCTGCCAATCCCCCTACTTATGTGACAGGCTTTGTGTGCATATCACAATATGGGAAATATATATCAACATTAATAATTACTATCATTGTTGATTAATCCATCAACTGTTTGCTCTATAAAATTTCAGAAAACAGGGAAAAGTGTTCAAAATT